TAAAGAGTGACTTTAACGTTAGGGGTGTCAAATGATCTTGTTAATTGCGATTAATTAATTACAGTCATATTTAGCGCGTTATGTTTTTTAATCACGTTAATCTCATTTTTAATCTCTAACTTTATTGTTTCTGTATGCGAGTTTCTTTATTATAAAATCTGTTTTTATGTGTTGTAGGGACAACAACACACACACACAAAAAAAACACATTTATAAATTTTTTTATTTCAGTAATTCCACTCATTGCCGGAAACCCACACAAAATGAGCAGAGTAAGAGCGATGTGAATGTCATGTTACCTTCATCATCGTCATTAAACCTACGAGAAAACAAATGCACGTCACTGTCACCACGTTTCCTTCCATAGTTACTGCGCGGACACCGCTGTCCTCCCGTGAGCCGCGTGCGTTTTCTCACATACGCTGCGTAAACCGCGCTTCCTCCTGTGTGCCTCTAAACCAGAACTAACACCAAGACTAAAATCAGGACTAACCCAGTCCAGGACTAAACCAGGACTAAACCAGGACTAAACCAGAACTAAAACCAGAACTAAAACCAGGACTAAACCAGGACTAAACCAGGACTAAACCAGGACTAAACCAGGACTACACCAGATCTAAAACCAGAACTAAAACCAGGTCTAAAGCAGGTCTAAACCAGGACTAAACCAGGACTAAACCAGAACTAAAACCAGAACTAAAACCAGGACTAAACCAGGACTAAACCAGAACTAAAACCAGGTCTAAACAAGGTCTAAACCAGGACTAAACCAGGACTAAACCAGAACTAAAACCAGAACTAAAACCAGAACTAAAACCAGAACTAAAACCAGGTCTAAACCAGGACTAAACCAGAACTAAAACCAGAACTAAAACCAGGTCTAAACCAGGACTAAACCAGGTCTAAACCAGGTCTAAACTAGGTCTAAACCAGAACTAACACCAGGACTAAAACCAGGACTCTAACCCATTCCAGGACTAAACTAGGACTAAAGAATGACTAAAGTAGGTCTAAACCAGGACTAAAACCAGGTCTAAAACCAGTGATCTCATATATAAAGCATTTCTCTATCAATAATATTTTTAATATGGTTAAGGAAAGACTGGACTTTTTATTGTCTTTAAGTAGACAAAAGTTATTATGTTCAGATTTCCTAGTCTTTGCTACTTTACAGTAAACAGTTTCTTATTCATGGAGACTTGGGCTCAACAGCCAATTTGAAGAGAACAAACAAGAAGAACATTTGCAGGATGCGGTTGCTACATTCATGTAGTTTTAAAAAGCATGACAATATCAAGTAATCCAAAGTATTCAAATTATGTTAATCCATTTAATTACTTAAAGTGAGTAAGTTACAAACTACATTTTGGGGTATGTAATCTGTAATCTGTAGGGAAATACATTTTAAAAGTAACTTTCCCAACACTGCAGATTAGTAATAGTAATAATAATGATGATACTGTGGAATGTAAGTGACTGCATCTGTTAAAGTTTGTTAAACAATAAATGACTTTATAAAGTCACTTTTTTTTGTTCTATATCAGTCTTTTGATCTGCCACAATAATGTAATAATGAATTTAAATGAAAATACCTCAAATTGAAGGCTTTTCTCAGCATATTTTAGGTGAGATTAAAAAGAGATTAATTAGATTAATTAATTACAGATCATAATTAATTAATCTCTCAATTTTTTTAATCACATGACAGCACTATTTAGTGTATTTATAACATAAAACCATCAGCGGAGGTGATCGGCTCGATGGTTGCAGTGTGTATATATATTTATACTCCGCTATTTAGTCCTGCTTTAGTACTGGTCCAGTCCTGGTTCAGTACTGGTTTAATCCTGGTTTAGACCTGGTTTAGTCCTGGTTCAGTCCTGGTTCAGTCCTGGTTCAGTCCGATGCCAAAAGTTCAGCATTTTCAACTTCTGACACCAACGCCCTGGACTCACATCCAGAGTGGTAACAACAGAATGCTCAAAGTGCGCTGCGTTGATGCCAGATTCGCGCCATGCTGATGCTTGAAGACACATCACAAAAACGCAGGATGCCCTAGACGCATGTCCACATAGACTTTGCATATAAACTGGATGCCTTATGCCCCGGTCTGAACGGGCCTTAAGAGGATCCCATGATCTACAGTGCCACTCAGATCTAACAGGATCAATACGGAGACTTTGTCACCTTAATTAAGAGCTGTCTCAGTGCAGTGGCGAGATTTGAAACCTGACTGGAAAACATCAAATGAGTTGGAAAAAGTTAGTAAACTGTTGGTAAAAAAAAAACTTTTTCAAGGACTTTGCCAAAAAATTGCAGATTTATATATATAAATAAATGTGTTTCTCACCTTCCACAGTGGTTGGTCTCTCTCACCCTCATTCACCTTGGGTCCTCTACCAGAGGCCTGGGAGCCTGAGAGTTCTGCGCAGTAACTTTGCTGTTCCCAGTACTGCACTTTTCTGGACTGAGATGTCTGTTTTTTTTTCCCGGTATCTGTTGTAGCTCTTCCATTTTGGGGGTTACAGCCCCAAGTGCTCCGATCACCAAAGGCACCACTGATGCCTTCACTTTCCGGACTTTCTCCAGCTCCTCCTTGAGCCCTTGGTATTTCTCTAGTTTCTCGTGTTCCTTTTTCCTGATATTACCATCGCTTGTTATTGTGATGTCCACCACCGCTCTGTTGCTTATCCACCATCACTATGGTGGTTGATTCGCCGTCACCATCCTGTCCGTCTGTATCTGGAAATCACACAAAATCTTGGCTCGGTCGTTCTCCACAACCTTTGGAGGTGTTTCCCACCTTGATCCTGGGGTCTCCAGCCCGTACTCTGCACAGATGTTTCTGTACACTATGCCCACCACCTGGTTATGTCGCTCCATATATGCTTTCCCTGCCAGCATCTTACACCCTGCAGTTATGTGCTGGACTGTCTCAGGAGCCTCTTTGCACAGTCTACACCATGGGTCTTGCCTGGTGTTGTCCTTGATGTACTCAAGGAGCTTGGATGTTTCATCCTGGACAGTGGTTCCCACACTCACTAGTCTTCGGCCTCCTTCCTTCCAGCTTGCATACAGTCTCAGGGTGATGGAGCTTGGATGAAACCCTCCATGCATGCAAACTCATTGCACATATATGTAGATATATACCCTGGAGGGTTTGTTAATCTGTTCACTGTTGCAAACAATTAGTTGTTACTGCAATTTCCAGTAATGTCCAAGAAGTACCTCTCTCTTGTTCTACCCAAACTGCGTTTGCCCATATGCATCTTGTAAATATCATGATGAACCTGGACTTTGACTTGCGCCATTTCTGCTCGGCCCTATGGCACACCTTTTTCTGTGCCCTGAACGAGTCATCATTCCTCCATGGAGTGGAGTTAAGTTTAGTATTTAGCATCTTGAAACTGCATTTAGTTACTGAAAAATTTGTGTTGTGTGATTTCACAGTCCTGAGAGCTCTATAAGGTTGTTAAGTGTGATTTCACTTCCATCCCAAGCCACCTAAACTGATTGAAAACAATAGACTTGTTTAGGGTTTCTACTTTGATGCCTCACGTTTAAACGTGGTTGCATTTTTTACTCACAAATTCCACTGTTCCTTTTCAAATAAACTAATCTAAGTGCACAAGGTTGAGGTATGAAGCTAAGATAAGGTAAAATAGCGGTAACCAGCAGTTAGTATTCCTGTGTTATGCTAGTGACATCATCATCACTTGACAATCCCAAAAGTTGTTTAGTCACTTTCAGGTCCACAGCACTTTGAAGCAAATGACCCTTTTGCAGGGTTGAAGTGGGAAGCATGTACGCAGCACAGTAAGCATTGAAATCTTATTGATGGCTTTTGATGGGCTGTCAACTGCTTCACACTTGTGTTGATATGACGCTCAAATATTGATATCGGGAGAATGTGGTTGATAAGAATTGACTCCATAGCCAGATGAACATGAAAAAATTTTAATAATAGACAAAAGGCAAAAGAGACCACCAGCATTTATAGTTTATGATAATGAGTAGAATGGAAGTGTACACATGAACCCGTGCTACAGAGAATATACATATAAAACAAAAGTACATATATGAAACAGGAGGCCTCTACTCAGTTAGAACAGGGAGTATGTAGATGTCAGTTGTATATCACTTAACAAAAATTTAAACTCTTAAAGGCACTGAAAACTCCAGTACATGGACACGCATTGTTGCAAATCTAACACACATATGGATCATAAAGAGAGGAGCATTTCATACTTATAAATATAAATCAGCCAGCCACTTGTACAGACACATCTTAAATTGATTCAAACTCAGTGCTGCAACCAGAGCTCAAAGCTCAATAATGCAGGAGAAATGTGTGGATGATGTAGATGATGATGTCTTATCTTATCAAGTGGTGGGACATAAAATTGTATTTTTGTATTTCTGTTTTGGTGACATTGATATGAAATTAAGAATCAGTGTGTTATTTCTGGCAAAACAAACTACTTTTTTCATTTTAAAAGATATGAAAATAAATAGTTGTAATAACTAGCAGAAAAAAACAACAACTTGTGTGCGATTTTTAATACCTTTTATTGTAATGTAAATATGTGATATAGTAACTTAACATGAAATATTACTCTGATTGTCCATGTCTTATGGTCCATTAAAAAAAAAAAAAAAAAGCATATAGTTTTTTTGTTTTTGTGTGTGTGTGTGTGTTTTTTTCTTCAAATTTTGGTTTACAGTTCACTTCAACTACCGTTAGATCACAACAGAACAGTTTGGTAAAAATTAAACCTGCTGACATTTAATTGTTTTTTGTTTTGTCGAAGCCTTGTCAATTATCATTTAATACTGTGCATTGCTTTATCAAGATCTTTCACAGTTTTTGGGACATCAGAATGAAACAGCTGTAAACAAATATTATTCCAGACCTTACATAAAGTGTGTTAGATGCCCTAGCTCCAATTAATTCAGATTGAGAGGGCTTGATCTCACCATACTCCACAGCCATTATTGCTTTATCTTCCATGGACTGACACTTTAGGAGTAGCACTGCAGGAGAGATGCTTCTTCAGATATTCTCTAAACATTACATCTCGCAGCCCATACACCATGGGGCACAGAAATCTGGGGAGAATTTGTAATAGTATATACCACACAAATATAAAGTGGACATATAATCTTGGGAACAAAGTTAAAATAAGTTTCTGGACAGGAGAAAACATATATGTTGACATCCACAGAAGAAGCTGAAAACTATGTAACATAATGGTATTCCTGGCCTTTTTGGCATCACTATTTGTTGTTTTTTTGCTGATTTGGCAACTAAAAATATCTGGATGTAAGTGTAAATCAGAACAAGCCAAACACTAACAAAATACACAGAGTAAGTGACTTCTCTCTTTTTTTACTATGATGGGATTTCGAAACAACATTACAGGCTCACATAAAACAGGGGTGAAGAATCGAGCAGGCTCAGTTGCTGCAAGATAAAATATGTCTGGTAAAAATGACAGTAAGCTCAAGGCCCATACACATGCAATCACTATGTAAATCTTTTTGATGTTGCACAACTGGGGGTGCTGAAGGGGGAAGCATACGGCAATATAGCACTCCACTGCCATCGCTGCTAAATTCAGAGGAGAGTTGAGACTTGTGATGATAGCAAATGCAAGAATAAAGCAACAAAGAAATGTGTTGATGGTGTAGAAAACATAAGAGCACACAAAGAGAGTGATGGCAGTGGTGAGCTGGATCATGTCATTCACCACCAGATGGATGAAGAGGATGTAGCGAGGGTTGTGGTGAAAGACCTAAGACAAGGCTAATACAGTCAAATGTTTAATAAAATAAAATAAAATAAAATAATAAGAATAAGAAAAATAATTAAGAAGTAAATCAAATAAGAACTTGTTCGTTACAATAATTTGCAATAATTTTAACATTACTGACCTGGTGTTTTCTGAAGGTATAAATGAAAGTCCCATTTAAGTAATTAATAGAAATCCCAAGCAGAACAATTGTTACATTTTTGGCTATAGCCATGCTGAATGAGTCTCGATAACGGACATAAGTTTGCCCATTTTGACCAGACGATGAATTCATGGAAGCACTATTCCTAAAAAGAAAGTAAGCATTGTTCAAAGACAGGACCAGAGCGAAATAAGAGTTTTATAGACTACATATAGACCTACCTTTAATATGGCTCACCCTCCCCAAATGAAGATCAGAGGTAAATTGAGCTTTATATCAAGTTCTCAAGGGAAGATTCTTAAGGATGATGTAAGTGGGTTAATTTGTAAATGAACACATTGCAAAATTCTCAAAAATGGCTCTTATGGAACTTATCCTACTTGTAGTCCGGTTCCTTATTGTCATTTTTTTGACCTTAGTGGGAATTTTTGGGGATTTGCTAACCTATATATTTTTGAAAAGGTTATAGTATATGGAGTCAGAAAATCAATGTTTGCATTTGCCCACGTCTTTATGGCGGCCATATTGGATTTTTTTTAAATGGCTGCCAAAAAACCCTTTTTGGAATATCTCAGCCTCTGAATAAGTTGAAATGTTGATTTTAACTGCTAAACCCACATTTTCAGGGTCAGGGAATCAAATGGTGCTAGTTACAAAGCTGTAAGACCTCCCCAAATTAACCCTTAGATGCATAAGTGGGTCAAAAATGACCCGGTTTGGTTGTTTTCTTGCATTTTCACTGTAGTATTCACATGTAATACTCCATGTTCCTCCAAAAACATGTTTTTCTTTTTTTTTTTATTATTATTATCCTGCTGAAATACATCAGCAATATGGGTAAAACAAATTATAAACATCACATGCAGCTGGTCAGATAACTCAAAGAGTTTAAAAGTAGCTAACATAAAATTTGGATGCTGGATGTAAACACACACATTTAGACACAATATGATTACACAACTTTTTTATGAGACATTTTCTATACATCATCATCATCATCATCATCATCATCATCATCACTTTCATACAACCATAGACTGTATATATGAGTGGACAGATCTAACGCTGGAGCTGCCGTGTGCCAAATAGGAAGTTCTCCAGGAGGCTCTTCCGGCTCCTTCTGACTCTGGCTCCAATGGACTTACATTAGGATTTTGTGGCTCCTCTCTCTGTACCTGCTGCAGTGAGCCTTGACATTTTGGTCTTAAAATGTTTGTATGAACCCGCTCTACATGATCCTGATTTATTTTATTTTATTTTTTTTGCTATTTTGTCCATCAAAAAAAATCCTATTCATAATATAAAGCCCGTGGCTGGATGAGATCCATCCTGAGTACCTTAAGTCTCTGGATGTTGTGGGTCTTGGCTGACATGCCTCTTCAACATCGTGTGGCGGTCGGGGACAGTCCCTCTGGACTGGCAGACCCGGGGTGTTGGTCCCTCTGTATAAGAAGGGGGACAGGAGGGTGTGTTCCAACTACAGGGGAATCACACTTCTCAGCCTCCCCGGTCTGTGCCAGGGACTGGAGAGGAGAATCCGACCGTGGTTTTCATCCCGGTCGTGGAACACTGGACCAGCTCTACACTCTCCATCAGGCGCTCGAGGGTTCATGGGAGTTTGCCCAACCAGTCCACATGTGCTTTGTGGATCGGGAGAAGGCATTCGACCGTGTCCCTCATGGTGTCCTGTGGGGGGTGCTCTGGGAGTATGGGGTCCGGGGCCCTTTGCTAAGGGCTGTCTGGTTCCTGTACGACCGGAGCAGGAGCTGTGTTCATTGCCGGCAGTAAGTTAGACCTATTCCCGGTGCATGTTGGACTCCACCAGGGCCACAACTGTCACCGGTTCTGTTCATTGTATTTATGGACAGAGTTTCTCGGTGCAGTCAGGGGCCGAACAGTCTGGTTTGGGGACCACAGGATCATCTCTGCTGTTCACAGACGATGTTGTCCTGTTGTCTTCATCAAACCAGGACCTGCAGCACTGGGGCAGTTTGACC